CAGCAGCAGATGATGGCAACAGGATCACAGTGGGATTAGCATGATGTTCTCATGTTGTTGGAGGCAGTGTCAACTGTAATGCATTTGGGTGTAAACCAGGAAAAGCATAAATATTCTTTTAGTTTATTCTAGTGTAGAGAGATCATCTTAGGAGCTAGTTGTGTTTGACTGGGATTTATGAGCCTATTCCTCCTACTCAAATGATAGCCTTTTTTTTCTTGGTATTGTTTGAGAGGTTTTAATGCTTTGCAGTATGGAAATTCAACTCTGTGGAGGCAGACCGGACCATAAAATAATTGTCTGGGCTCTCTGAAGAGTTATGCAACTGGGCAGCTGCATCACATCTGGAAGTTGCTTGGATCTTTCTTCCCTCTCCCCCAACTTTTCCATGTCATAAAGCCAGCAACTTTCATTCAGTCCAGCACTGTTTAGGATCCATTGATGAAACAGAATGGCTCCCTGCACTATTGCTGACTGAAATCAAGAGACTCATGATCGTGATGGGAAGCATGTGCATTAAGAGCTCATTCACAGTTTACATGAGTGATCGGGTGCAGTCTCTTCAGATGCTGAGTGTTGAAGATCATGCCATATTTGAGCACTAAATAATGCTTTTCCTAGACTTGTATGACATTTGGGGTCTGGCTTCTGACCTTGTAAACGTAACTATGTAATTTGCTATCATGTTAACTCAGTAGTTTGATTTTTGGTCACATGTTGAAATCTGAAATTTTGGTTTTGATATGATGTGTGCATCATGACACAGTGTGCATGAATTTTCTGGTGTATTTTCTGAAAGGAAACAAATATGGGCACAACACCCTAAAATTTGTCAGAAGCTTTTTAGCTATGAATTTTGATTCCTACTAATTTGTAGGCCGAAGCCAGCACATCTAACCATTGAACCCCCTGCAGCTTCACACTGCTAATGTAGCTGTGAAAGTAGGGAGCATTTATACATACTGTCTTGCTGTAGGTGAAGGTTAGTGGAAGTTACGTCTTAATTTTATGCCCATGTTAAAATACAGATAATCTTCTTTTTATAGAAAAGAGTTTATGCTCTTGTGTTTTCTTGATGGAAACATCCATTCAGAAGTCAGGATTCATGAAGTGGAGAAGCACTCGTCCCATTGCCTCTGAAGGCTCCACTCCCCTCTCCTGCTCCTTCCCTTCTGAATGCCCTTAGAACAGAGGCTTCCTCATGTTCTGGGCTGGGCTGAGCTAAATGGGACTGAATTGTGCTAAACTGGGCCTAATTGGGCTCAGCATGTTTGGGCTGGGCTGGGCTCTAAAGTGGGCTGAACTGGGTAAATTGGGCTGGGTTAAGCTGGACTAGGCTAAACTTGGCTGGACTAGGCTAAACTTGGCTGGACTAGGCTAAACTTGGCTGGACTAGGCTAAACTTGGCTGGACTAGGCTAAACTTGGCTGGACTAGGCTAAACTTGGCTGGACTAGGCTAAACTTGGCTAGGCTAAACTTGGCTGGACTAGGCTAAACTTGGCTGGACTAGGCTAAACTTGGCTGGACTAGGCTAAACTTGGCTGGACTAGGCTAAACTTGGCTGGACTGAGCTGGCCTAAAGTGTGCCACATTGGGCTATGAAGGGCTAAAGTGGGCTGAAGTCTACTGGGCTGGGCTGTGTTGGGATAAACTGTGCTGGACTGGGCTAAATTGGGCTTAACAGTGATAAAGTGGTCTGAACAGATGTGACTTGGGTTAAACTAGGCTGAAGTGGGCTAAAGTGTGCTGGGCTGAACAGGGCTAAGGTGTGGTGGACTGTTCTGAATTGGGCTAAACCCTGCTGAACTGTGCTAAATGGGTCTGGACAGGTCTGAATTGGGGTGAACTAGGGTGAACTGGTCTGGACAGGGCTGAATTGGGCTACAGTGGGCTGGGCTGGGCTAAACTGAAATGAACTGTGCTGAAGTTGGCTGCGCTGGGCTAAAGAGGGCTAAATGGGCTGTGATGAGCTGGAATGGGCTGGACAGAGCTAAAGGGGGCTGGGCTGAACTGGGGTGCAGTGTCTGAAGTGAGATAAACTGGGCTGGACTGGAGTATACTGGGCTAAACTGGTCCGAACTGTGCTGTGTTGGGCTATATTGGTCTGAACTGGGCTAAACTGGATGGAACTGTGCTAAACCTGCCTGAACTGGGCTAAACTGGTCTGAACTGAGGGAAGCCAGAATGAACTGGGTTGGAGTGGTCTGAGCTGGGCTAAACTGGTTTGGGGTAGGCTAAATAGGTCTGAACTGTGCTAAACCGGATTTTCCCAGATGGCAGGAGAATATTCTCTGAAACTCCGATTTGCCAGAATAGAATTCCCTTGTTCAGCAATTCCAAAATTAAAGAGCCCCCCCCATCATCCAAAGCCTGAATTCCATTAAATACAAGATCCTCTCCCAGGAATGCTCCTGCGATGGGTCTGGGAGCTGCGAAGAGGAGCGCCCGGCTCTGCTGGATGCTGGTACACAGCAGCCAGGGCATGGGCTCCTCTCGCCGTTGGAGACCGGGACGCTGAGCGGCCGCGGGGAACACGAGTGCCTCCGGCGGGAGGGATGGGAAGGGGGACACGGTCACCGCTGCCTTCCGGGACAGCAGCCCGGCCGCGACTCCCTCCCTCCCGCTGCCGGGCTGCCCCAGACCCCCTCGGTGCCCCGGTTCCTCGGTTCTCCCCCGTGCGGAGCCGAGCCGTACAGTGCGGTAAAAATTCTGTCCCTGCCCATGGCAGGGGGCTTGAAAGTGCATGATCTTAAGGTTCTTTCCAACCCTGAGTATTCTGGTATTCTGTGATTCTATGGTTCTAATAGAGGGGAATGGGGGTTGAGGGGGTAATAGGGCGCAATGGGGGGGGGGGGGGGGTTAACTGACGTTAACAGGGGGTTAGGGAGGGGAGTTTGGTAGGCAGTGGCTGGTAATAGGGGGGTAATGGGAGGCATCAGTTCGTCCCGGACCCCCTCGGAGCCGCTCGCTCCTCTGCGGGCGGCTCCATCTCCTTCGGGCGCCTTGGGCTCCGCTGGGCACCCTTCGGGATGCTCCGCCTTCTTCCGGCTGCGCTCGGATCCCTTCGGTCGGCTCCGCCCCCTTTGGGCGACTTCGGCTCCTCTCGGCTCCCTTCGGGCAAAAGCCGATGTTCCCTCACTTTTGTCTCAGAAAGTACTGGGAAGGAGGGAATTGACTGGAAAGAGTACTTCAAGGCTGCCAGAAGTGCTGAAGATTGTCGGAAGAAGTAAAGGACCCTCAGCGCCCCCCACCACGTTTTTGTATGCCTGTGGGGAAACGTTCTAGAAGAATGATGTAAGTATCCTCATGAATATGCATGTCTGTACGTAATGAATATGTATGTTTAGTGACTATATAAGGATGGCTTGTTTAGCAATTCGGAGACACAGGTTAGGAGGAGCTGTCTCCCGTGTCTCGTGGCGCTGCAATAAAGAATAGCTGCTTGAAACTTTGAAACCGTTGTTGGCGAGTTTGTTCCTCCAATTTTCTCTGAGTCACTGTAGACCCCGTATCTCCCCAAATCCCCCCATAGACCCCCACAGACCCTATTATGCGTCTCCAGGCCCCCAAATCCCCCCATATCCCACCCATAGACCTCATAGAATCCCATTTAGGAACTCCAGGCATCTATATCCCCACATAGACACCCTATCTTCCCCCATATCCCCCCACGGAATGCCAAGTAGGCACTCCTGTCCCCCATATCCCCCCATATTTCCCCCTAGAACCCCTTGTAATGGACTCCAGACCCCCCTATCCTCCCATATTCCCCCATAGCCCCCCCAATGGTACTCCAGACCCCCAAATCCTGCTACAGAATCCCATGTAGGGCAATGGGGGGGGGGAGCTTAGGGGGGAGCAGGGGGTAATGGGAGCCAATGGGGAGGTAACGGAGTTAATAGATGGTAATGGGGGGTAATGGGGGGAGGAAGCCGCTTCTCTCCAACGCCATCGGAGCCTCTCGGGCTCCTTCGGGAGGCTTCGGCTCCCCGGGCTCCCTTCGGTCGGCTCCGCCCCTTTGCGCGGCTTCGGCTCCGCTCGGCTCCCTTCGTGACAGCAGCTCCTCCCCGCCGGGACTCACCCCCTCCCGCTGCCGGCCTGCCTCAGACCCCCTCGGTGCCCCGGTTCCTCGGCTCTCCCCCGAGCCGAACCGAGCCGTTCTGTGCCGAGCCGTGACCAGTTATAGGGGGTAATGGGAGGAAATGGAGGGTAATAGAGGGGCAACGGGAGGTGGCGGCTCCCCTGGGACCCCCTCGGGTGCCTCAGAGCGGCTCCGATCCCTTCGGGTGGCTTCGGCTCCGCTCGGTTCCCTTCGGGTGGCTCTGCCCCCTTCGGGTGGTTTCAGCTCCGCCCTGGTTCCCTTCGGGTGGCTCCGTGCCCTTTGGGCGGCTTCGGCTCGCGTCGGCTCCATTCCGGCAAAAGCCGGTATTCCCTCACTTGCCTTAGAAAGTGTCGGGAAAGAGGGAAGTGCATCACTTTTACAGCATAAAGCGGTGGGAAGGGGGGGCGAGGGCGGCGCCATCTTCTGCTCTTCCTCTTCCTCCCTCCCTGCAGGTCTGGCGCTTCCAGCCTCGCACCGCCCGCAGCCCTAGGGCGGCCGTGGAAGAGGCGAAGAGGGAGGTGCGGGAGAAGGAGACGTGAGGGGAGGCGGCGGGAGGCGCCTCAGTGGGAGTACTTCATGGCCCGCGCCATCGGGAGTGCGGCTCTGCGCCGCCATGTTGGGAGTGGGAGACACGGGGCGGCCATATCGGTGGGGTGCCGTTGGCGCCACTGGGTAGGCGCCATCTTGAGTACGGCACGTGGCGGCAGCCATATTGGTAAGGCGCAATCTTGAGGTACGGCACCTGGGGCGGCCATGTTGGTGAGGCGCCATTGTGTACCCGCCATTCCTCCATTTGAGCCCGGCCCCTTCCTCCTGCCGGCTCATGCCCTCACCCATCATGGAGGCCGCGTTGCCGTGGTAACGGCCGCACCTCGCCAGAGCCGCTGCCATTTTTCGTCCCAAGATGGCGCTGGCGAGCGTGATGCGGGCGGAGGCTCCGCTCCCGTCCCCATCCCTCCTCCCGGGGCTCGCAGCGTCTCGGGACCCGGCCGGGCACCTCCCCCGGCATCGCCGCCCCCTCCTCCGGGAGCTGCCGCCGCTGCTGCCCGGGCCCGGCATCCAGCTCCTGCACGGCACCACCCCCCTGGCTTTCGACGTACGGACATTGTGGGGGGGCTGCGACCCATGGAGAGCACATAGAAACTCCATAGGGACACACTGGGGAGGGGGGTAGGGACATAGAGACACGTAGAGATACATTGGGGGGTGCTGGGACCCATGGGGAGCATACAGAAACTCCATACGGACACACTGGGGAGGGGGATATGGACATAGAGACACACAGAGATACACTGGGGGGGGGGGGGGGGGCTGGGACCCATAGAGACCCTATAGAAACTCTATAGGGACACAGTTGGGGGGGCTATGCATGTAGAGGCACATAGGGACTCAGAGACGCTGGGGGTGCTGGGACCCATAGAGACCCCATAGAAACTCCATAGTGAGACAAGGGGGCACAAAATCACCAAATGAAGTACATAAACCTTTCAAATCAGTTTTAAGTAATGTTAAGTTTGAAGCCTTTGTAAGAGTAGCAATGGAAAATGACTGAGGTGCACGATTCACAGAGGAAAAGTATAGAGTACAGCTAGAGAACATCCAGAGAGTCCTTGTATAAACCATTGTAGTCAACGTAGTTTTAGGCCCTTATGACCTTAGTACAAAATGAGTGTACGAATGTCCTGGGTTCAGCAGTAGCAGCCATGTTTCTCCTTTGTGGTAGCTGGTGCAGTGCTGTGTTTTGACTTCCAGCCTGGGAACAATACTGGTGAAACCGATGTTTTCGGTTGTTCCTTAGTGATGTTTACCCTGATCAAGGACTTTGTGAGGCTCATGCTCTGCCAGGGAGGAGGGGAAGCTGTGAGGAAGCAGAGACAGGACACCTGACCCAGGGTAGCCAAGGAGGTATGCCATACCAGAGCACATCATGCCCGGGGTGGGGGGTAACTGGGAGTTAGCCGGAAGGGCTGGGAGACTGCAGGGTTGGAGGAGGTATCGGTCGGTGCTTGGTGGGGCTGGGGGGGGGGCGAGTTACAGGTCGGCTGGTGCTGAGGTGTTGTATTCTCTTCCCTTGTTATTTCCTTTATCATTATTATCATTGGTGGTAGCAGTAGTGATTTGTGTTATACCTTAGTTACTAAACTGTTCTTATCTCAACCCGTGGGAGTTGCATTCTTTTTGATTCTCCTCTCCGTCCCTCCGGGAGTAGGGGGAGGGAAAGAAGGGGGGAAGTGAGTGAACGAGTTACCTGACTGGGTTTAAACCATGACAAAGAAAAAGAGGATAGAAAGACAGGAGGTAAGGATAAGGAGTATCTGGGAATGGCAGGTGTCCAGGATGGGCTGCAGTTAAACTAACTGGTGAGCAGAAGGACAGGATGATTGCTGTGTCTGTGGTGTTAAGTAACCAATTAAGCCGGTATAAATGGCTACTGTGTGTGCTTCCAGGCCTGCTAGAAGTGCTGAAGATTGTCGGAAGAAGTAAAGGACCCTCAGCACCCCCCACCACGTTTTTGTATGCCTGTGGGGAAATGTTCTAGAAGAATGATGTAAGTATCCTCATGAATATGCATGTCTGTACGTAATGAATATGTATGCTTAGTGACTATATAAGGATGGCTTGTTTAGCAATTCGGAGACACAGGTTAGGAGGAGCTGTCTCCCGTGTCTCCTGGCACTGCAATAAAGAATAGCTGCTTGAAACTTGAAACCTTTGTTGGCGAATTTGTTCGAGTTTTCTCTGAATCACCGTAGACCCCCGTATCTCCCCTAATCCCCCCCCCATAGACCCTGAAAGACCCCATTATGGGTCTGCAACCCCCCAAATCCCCCCATATCCCCACCATTGACCTCACAGAATCCCATTTAGGGACTCCAGATATCCATATCCCCACATAGACAGCCCGTATCCCCCCCCAGAATGCCATGTAGGCACTCCTGTCCCCCATATTCCCCCACAGCCCCCCCAGTAGGACTCCAGACCACCAAATTCCCCTCATATTCCCCCACAGACCCCCCTAATGGGACTCCAGACCCCCAAATCTCCCCATAGAACCCCATGAAGGGTCTCTAGACAACTATAGGCCCCCATGTAGGGAATCCAGACACCCATGTCCCCCTTAATCCCCCCCTAGACATACCGTATCTCCCCACAGACCCCCATAAAGGGTCTCCAAACCACCACAGAACCCAATGTAGTGACTCCAGATCGCTATATATACCCTTATCCCCCCACAGACCCCCATGTAGGGACTCCAGACCCCCAAATCCCCCCCCTAGACCACCATAATGTGATTCCAGACCCCCATAGACCCCATGGAATCCCACAAAGGGTCTCCAGACCCCTATAGACCCCCATGTAGGGTCTCCAGACCCCTATAGACCCCCATGTAGGGTCTCCAGACCGCCAGATGCTCCCATATTCCCCCATAGACCCCCAAATTCCCCTCATATTCCCCCACAGACCCCATAATGGGACTCCAGATCCCTAAATCCCCCCATATTCCCCCACAGAACCCCATGAAGGGTCTCTAGACCACTACAGGCCCCCATGTAGGGACTCCCGATGCCCATGTCCCCCTTAATCCCCCCCAGACACACCATATCACCCCACAGACCCCCATAAAGGGTCTCCAAACCACCACAGAACCCCAGGTAGTGACTTCAAACTGCCATATACCCCCTAGTCCCCCCATAGACCCCCATGTAGGGACTCCAGACCCCCAAATCTCCCCTATAGACCACCATAATGTGACTCCAGACCCCCATAGACAACCCATATTCCCCCATGGAGGAGCTCCAGACCCCTATAGACCTCCATGTAGGGTCTTCAGACACCCAAATCCCCCATATCCTCCCATATTTCCCCAAAGAACCCCATGGAGCAACTCCTGACCCCCGAATTCCCCCCATATCCTCCCACATTCCCCCATAGAACCCCATCTTGGGTCTCTAGACCACTGTAGGCCCCCATGTAGGGACTCCAGATGCTCATGTCCCTCTTAATCACCCCATAGACACATCATATCACCCCACAAACCCCCATAAAGAGTATCTAAACCACCACAGAACCCCATGTAGCAACTCCAGACAGCCATATGCCCCCTAAT